TGACAGGCATTCTTCACTATGATTGAGATCAAGTACTAGTAACGCCAACGATAACTAGCATATCTCGATTAACAACTGTGAGAACAGACCAAACTCTCCCATCTGGAGTGCTTTGTGCGCAGGACTGTCAGGCTCTACAACGGTCATGTGTCCACGCACATATTTTCCCCTCAACCTAACTCAATGGCAGAGCGTGGTTTTACCCTTTATGAATTGACAGAGAAACTAGCGGCAATACATATTTAACTTTGCTCCCTTAAAGGAGCACATCTGAATGTAACTTCTGTAACGTTTTAATACATAGAAATACCATTCAAACTAACATGATTCGCTTTCAAAATCGGCGCCTCAGTAAATAACACATGAATAGCTTAAGGGTGTTACTATATCGAGGTTATGTGCAATGTCACGGCCAATTTTGAGAGACGGGCCATTATGTAAACATAAGTGCGTGTGGTTGTTACATACTTGAATGTTTTTTTGTTATTTGTCCATGCTGTATTTATACATGTGCAACCAGACACAAACATGTAGCCTGTTAAGTGTCCTATAATTCATGTACATACACTATTCCTGTGTTGGTAATGCATTCACGCAGTAAATATACATGGACTGCCGTAGATACCTGATGATTCTGACCGGACGCGTGATAAGCCCGGTGAAACAGTTACTACGCATGAACTCACCTCCGCTCTACGCGTCGACCCATGGTCTATCATAACCGCTGGTCTTTTCATTCTCATGGGGCAGCATATGACATTAAGTCGTGCGTACTCATTAATTCACAAACACTACAAAAGCACCAGTACTTGTCCCGCTACAGTCCCTATCTGGCTACCAAAGCTTCCCATTCCGCCATGTTGTCCTGTTTCTGATTCCTTGAGAAGTTTGTGTGCGACTCTTCGGCGTTGCTTTTTCACGACGATTCCTCCCTCAATTTCTTCTTGTGTATATTCATGCCAGGCTAGCAAACCTATATCCATGATACTGGTAAATCAACTATAAATTATCATATTCATCCTGAGTAGATCCCCAGTAGAATCATTCGAGAATTAATCGCTTCTGTCTTGACATCACACACACTCAGCTTTAGCGTGGCGTGCGTCGTTCCAGAATGGTCCACGCTGACGTCACCATGACCTAGATTAAATATTCATGTGTTTACTTACTAAATATGCTGCGCCGGATTTGAAATGGAACAAACGTTATTGAATGTATTATATTTCTATGTATAAAAACGTTACAGAAGTTATGAAATTTGACTTCAATTTTCCTTTAATATCACTCACGTCAGTAGCATTGTCGGGAATTGAAACTATCTGGCAGTAAACAAGCAGATTGTATTATGTTTGTGTATAGAAATATCCTGTTTAATTTTCTATAGATGCCAAGCATGTGTAAGTAATGTTTTCAAAGAGATTCTATGTTTATCTGTGTTCAGACCGTATATGTTTCAAAATGGTAAGATTGTATGGTTTGTTTCATAGTGCAGTTTTCGTTCATTCTCAAGGGTGAAAATTAGCAAGTGTTTATCATAAAAATTATTCTTTTGTGTGCAACTTGAAAAATCAAGATTATACACATCATCATTCATACAGCATTAAATTTCTCTGTAGGTTGAGTGGCAGAAAAAAGAAGGGCGTAATTACGTAACATTGACCAAAGGCACCAAAGTGATATTGGAAGACAGTCGTGTTGATATTGATGTCAATACCTCTGGCAATGATGACGTGTTTGTGTTGACATTATCTGAGATAACATCGTCCGATCAAGGCACCTATCAGTGTGAAACCACAAACCAAACACCAGATAGCAAGACGGTGGATGTTTCTGTTAGAGGTAGTAACCATTACCCTTGCAAATTGAACTGTGTTTCACGTTTTTGATTGGGTTGTGAATTCACGTATACTCGAATAATTTATTGTCGAGATTTTGTAAAATGCTGTTAGTAATGGATATTATTGGTGTTTTCTAGGTAGTAGCAGCAATGAAAAACCAGAAATTGTAGATATATCGCCAGACATGTCTGTCAGGTTTGGGGCAACTGTAGAACTGGAGTGCTTTGTGTCCGGACTTGTTGATGGATTGGTAAGCACCTTGAGCTTTTGATTGGCTGTGTTGGTAATCAGTGTTTGTGTGTGTGCATGCGTGCATGCGTGCATGACTTAGAAAACAGAGGCTGGAGTTGTATAGTGTTCTAATTGTAATTGTAACATCAGCTTTATTAAACATTACAGAATATCAAAACACGCATGGCTGCATGCTTAGGTGTGAACATTCGCACGTGGGTAGTTTGGTGTAGTATGTGTGTGCGTGTTCGTGTGTGCGTGCATGCGTGCATGGATGTGTGCTTGTGTTGTGTCAGTGTGCTAGTATGTGATTTGATATGCTCATTTCTCATGAGTGGGTCGGTGTGTGATAGTATTTTTGAATGCCTGCACACATAGTGCTTACAAATTTATAAACATTTTCACATTTCAGGTGAGATGGAGGCGAACTGTTCAGTCATCTGCAGGTTTAGTCACTGAGCTACTCACTGAGGATGATCAGAAGATATCGAGCAACAGTAGGATGAGCATCAAAAAGCAGATGGGTCGTCGCAGCGACGCCTACATCCTGATGATTAGCGATGTTCGCAGAAGTGATTCTGCTACATATACGTGTCTCACAGTTAATATTGATACTCCTGCAGAACGCTCACTGGATCTGACCGTAGAAGGTGAACAATGAATAGTAAAAGATGTGTGGGGCTGAAGATATCTTGGCATGTGAAGAATGCTAAGAAAGAGAAAGGGGAAATGCTGAAAATTGCTTCGTTGGCTCTTCCTCCAATTTCTATCTTTCCTTGCAGAAAAACAAACTTTTAGCAGTGGCTAATGAATGCATGCGATTCAGCAGTAATCGCGTTTTTGAGCACAAAGATTTTGATTTGTGTATTAAAAAGGTATTTTATACTATGACTTTTAAAGAAAATTTTGTTCTATTGTTCTCCTAACTTGAATGATGTTTTTTTTAGTAAGGGCCACTCGTGCTACCACAGAGGAGGAACAGATCATCTGCGAGGATAAAACCGAGACAGTTCAGTGTCGTAACAGGCAGACGATAGAGCTAACTGATATCAAATACGGTCGCGAGAATAATGCCGCTGACATATGCAAAAGTAAAACATCGGGCAGGAGTTGCACATACACGTCTGTACGCGACACTGTGCTTGAAAAGTTCCGGGATGCCTGTGATGATGAGCGCAGTTGCCAAATTAGAGCGAGTAACTCGCAAATGGGTGGTGACCCATGCAGTGGGACAAAGAAGTACGCCAGAGTCATTTACAACTGCCTTGGTAAGTCTACGTGATGGTTTCTTGTTTGGCTATCTACACTTAAACTGCTGGGCAAACAGCAAATGGCATATCAGTCCATGTCAGTTTTGGTCTCGTAGCAAATTCATGAAATAATGATATTTTTGTCAGTTACACAGATTCTACAGTTTATACATTAAATGAGACTAGGAAATACCACTGTGCGTAAAATGAGCAGTTAAAATGCATTTAAATATCGTCGCATATGGCTTCTTAAATTCAAGCACGTTTTTATTGCATAGGGTTGCCCGAATTCTTTTTTATGTGCTGAAATCTAATAAACGAACTGAACATTACTAAATGTGAGGTACAACTGTATTGATCCATTAAAATTTATTTGTTTTTCATAATTTCCAGATGACCGTTCATCTTCAGGACCAGAGATTGTAGAAATCTCAGAAGATACGACTCTCACTGTTGGCAGAACACTGACGCTTAAATGCCATGTCACAGATCTTTCACGAAGAGAGACGGTAAATGTTATCAAACATTTACATGTTAGCTGTTTGTGAACTATTATTGTGATAAGGTACCATAATAAATGTTAACGTTTTAAACTAAAATATGAACAATTCCTGAGCAAAGATCATTAAGTTACCTCTAGATCATTTTACCTCTAGGCCGAGTGGCAGACGGTTGACAGTGATGACAGTGTGACAGTACTGACACGGGGCACACGCGTCATCTCGACGGAACGACGCATCAGTATTGATGAAGACACGTCGAATGACGATGAGACGATTTTCACGCTCAGCATCCGCAGAAGCGTTGAGGAAGATGCCTCACGTTATCGGTGCAAAACGACCGACAGCGATCCTGTGAGCGACGACGTCGTTGTCAGCCTTAGTGGTATGCCATCGTTGCAGTTAATGTTTGTCATGGTTGTTTCTGTGTCTGTTTGTTGGCTTTAATTTGTAAGCAGCATGACAGTCCATGTGTTTTTTGAACAAATCGTGTTATAATTTACATTAATGAATTTGCAGAGATTATAGTAATGTTATGATGTATACTATGCCATGTGTATACAATCTAACTTAGCAATCTAAACAAAAAGCCACCAGAATGTGACTTCGTGATGATGCTTTATTGGACCAGCTATTCAGTGTTGTTAGTAGGGTTGCTTAGGCTATGTTTGCCAAATTGTTGATAAGAGTTTCTCTGATTAGTTTCTGTTTTACAGTAGCTCTATGCCAAGCTACATTATACTATGGTATAAATTACATTAGCTGCTGCTCTTTATTTCCCAAAATTTTGTTTCACAGATTCGACAGATAATCCTAAAATTGTTGACATCTCCCCACGACAGAACTTGAGGACCAATGAAGACATGGTCATTGAGTGTACAGTAATGAATTTAGGAGATAACACAGTAAGTTTTCTATGCTAGTCTGTGGTAATATTTTATCCAGGACCCATTACTCTGAAAGCGTATTCTTATAGGAGGCCAATGTAGTAAGCTGGTTTATAGTCGTTGTAAAATGTTAATTAAAACCATGCAGCATTTTTTGCTGATATTATAGTAATTCTTAAGCTAATGCTGAGTATGCATGCATAAAATCAAGATGGAAAACCGAGAAATGATGTTTTGAGTTGTAGGAAAACTGAACTCGTGTTTTCATCTGCCTGAACAGTGCAGATGGCTTCCTATCTATTTAATGTTTACAACTACATTGGACGACTAGGCATTACAAATCATTAAATTTTTCCTTGCATTACTTTACCATTTCGGGCACTTTCATGATTTAGGTTGAATGGCAAAAGGTTGATAGCAATAACAGGGTAACGGTACTGACTAGAGGCACCCGAATTGTGGCAGTGAATCGCAGACTATCCATAGACAGGGAGAGAGACCAGGGCAACGATGTTTTCACATTAACCTTGCGACTTGTCTTGCGAGACGACGCCGGAACATTTAGGTGTGAGACAACAAATTCGAATCCGGACCATGAAGATGTTGTACTGTCAGTCAGGTGTAAGTATTTGTATTTATGTGTTGTTCAATGAATACTGTGATGATGTGATATCAAATACAAATTTATGTGGCTGTATATATTTACTGCAATTTAAAAATGAAACTGTGACATAATTGAGTTCCATGCATTTTACATCCATAGCTATAAGAAAGCTATAGAGATGCCACATATCATGTATAAGCTAATGTGTAAGATAATGTGCAATAGAGGTTTGCATTATGTACATTACTAACACCTGCATTGTATATGACATGAATTGACTGAATACTAATGCAGTCTATTGCTTTATTATTGTGCTTGTTGTTATATGTTAAATTTGTAGTAAGGATATATGTTTGTGAGTGTAAGTGCATCTGTGCATACGTGCATGCATGTGTATGTGTTGTATGTGTATGTGCACAAATGTTAGTAGAAAATAAAGACCTATCTGTGAAGTTTGTAATGTAAATCATTCACTGTTTTTAATTTAGTGTTAAATGCATGTTTTATCACAGCAAGTGGAGCAACTAATGCAAAAATCACAGAAGTCTCACCAAGCCCAAGAGCAAATGTCCAAGTAGATTCAAAGTTAATACTGGAATGCTTTGTAACAGACCTTGGTTCAGAAACAGTAAGTAAATGCATTAACTTATTAAGCTTTTCTGGAATTAACAGTACCTGTTTTTAGTAAGGCAATTCTATTTAACATGTAAATGCACTAGCTTGCAGTGAAACCTTTTTGTATAGATTGATGACATGTTATCTTACCACTTCCTTGATGCCTTTGTATTTACCTGAAGCAACACATAGTGAATGAAGTGGAAGGTGTATGCATGTTACTCTACCTTATGTTTCTATAGATTGAGTGGCAAAAAGTGGAGGGTAGAGATGTGACTGTCCTTACCCGGGGAGAAGATGTCGAGGTCCGTGACAGGAGGGTTTCGATCATTGTTGAGGGCTTTCGAAGTGAAGAAATCTTTGTGCTTGAGATCACAAACACACAGAGATCTGACTCTGGCACGTACAGGTGTGAAATAACAGGCAGCAGTGAAGAGAGCTTGGAGACCGAGGTCAATGTTGGGAGTGGTACGTACTAGAAACATAAACAATACGTTAGGTGGAACTCAAAACTTGATTCAAATCTTATATTGCTTACCTTAACTATTTGTATGACAGTATGAGATACAGTGTGAAACATAAACAAGGAACTAACCCATACCTCAATTATCTTTAGGTTCTGGAGGTAGTGAGGACCCTGAGATTGTGGAGGTCACTTCTGACAAAACCATCAGGACAGGCAGTGATTTAGTCCTGGAGTGTTTTGTCACTGGCCTGACATCATCAACTGTAAGTGTGCATGTTAATGTGCTGAATTCGATGGTATATTCTATGGAAGAATACCCCCATATTACCTATATATATTCCCTGACATACATTATTCTGGCTTTGTAACGATTAATATATTAGTATTTAAGTTTTGTAATGGCATGTGCTGCTAATATAAGTAATTTTACTTGATGTCAGGTTGAGTGGCAGCTAGTGGATGGCAGGAACATTGAAGTACTGACCCGCGATGAAGACAGAATCATCACACTGAACGGTTACATATGCGAGGGAATTCAGATTGAGGGAACTTACAGTGGATGTGAGACAACCAATGATCGGATCGTGTAAGCCGAGGATGTTAGGATGGTCTGACTGTGACAGGGTATATGGTCCTTCTATCTCAAATGGGATACATCGAGTAATGCTAGTTGGAAACAAGTGTAGGGATATGCTGTTGAACTGAATTTATATTGCTGTTATTATTGTTTCTAAACATCGAGTAAGAGTGCTGTCATTGAATGTAAATGGGTGTATGTGAATTGTAATTTTAGGCGTCGTGGAGGGCAGAGACATGAGTCCTGAGATTGTGGAAACAGACGTTCTGACGTGGCTGGGGACTTGGGGGTTGGTGTGTGTAGAGTTGTGCGAGGTGGGCTGTTGGGGGGTTTGTTTTTGTTATGGCGGTGGCGGTACAGTGGCGGTGTCGCGGCCGCCGGGGGTCAAGTTGCGTCGGTGGTTGGGATGTGGAGCGAGCGCCGGTGTCGGCGCGGAGCTCGCGGCGCGCGGGGAGGGCCTTCCGGCGTATCGGGCAGTTAAAACCATCAGAGGCAGGAAATGATGTTAGTCGCTGGAGTGTTTTGGTCACAGGCCTAGACATCCATCAGCTGTAAGTGTGTAATTGCTGACATTAGAGATTGTATTATGCAGCCATCTGGCTATAGCTTTCTATAATACAACCCGACACATCAATTCGTGCGCTATGTGATAGTTGATAGAGAGTATTTACAGATTCATCATTATAGCTTGCGTAATACGTAGTAATACTTCCCTGATGTTAGGTGCGGGAACAAGTTGGGGGCCAAAAAAGCCTAGTGGAGTGGGGAGGACATATGAAGTACTGGACCCGCTGTGGAGAAGAACAGAATCATCAGTGATAGACAGATTCAGTACTGAGACTGACCACTGATGGAGCATGAGGGACATATTTACACTAACGGTTACTAATACTCAGGAATTCAGATTGAGGGAACTTACAGATGTGAGACAACAAAATGATATCCTGTAAGCGAGGATGTGAGGTCACTGTGAAGGTAAGGCATCGATCTATCCCCGCAATTTTAAAAATTGGAAGAGCACATTTCCGTAGAAAAAATTATTAAAACTTTCTCAATGAACATTATGTTCCTATTCAGGATCTCGTTATTATTATATGCTGATATTCCAACATATGTAAAATCATTGTTGTTTGAAATTATGTATTTATTTCAATTCAAGGTTCTGGAGGCAGGGAGATCCTGGAGATTGTAGAGATCACATCTGCAAAACTGTTAAGGACAGGCAACGATTTAGTTCTGGAATGTTTTTGTCACTGATCTCACCTCACAACTGTAAGTCTAATGTTTTCTTACAAAACCGGATAATTATAGGAAATTATATTTAAATAAACACATAACATAGGCCATATTATTACTGTGGTCTTGTTCATTGAACCTACTGGTTGTATATTTGTTAGTATGCGCTTCCAAAACTAATAATCATAACTGCTCTCCAGGTTGAGTGGCAGCTAGTGGATGGCAGGAAACATTGAAGTACTGACGCCGTGTGAAGACAGAATCATCAGTGATAGAAGATTCAGCGACAGAGATGGACACTGCTGGAGACGAGTGACATTATTTACACTAACGGTTACTAATATCGAGGAATTCAGACGAGGGAACGCTACGCAGAGATGTGAGACACCAATTGATGATGCCTGTAAAGCAAGGAATGTGGAAGTTTACTGTAGGAGGTAATGTGAATAAAATGTAATTTTTTAATGGCAACGCAATTTTTATTTTATTTAAACAGTTTAAAGAATTAGAGAGGTCATTTATTGGTGAATATTTGAGAATGTATGTATGTTATTGGAAGCCAGTATGTCTAATCTTGTCAAATTCATCATAAAATTTTATTTGTGAAACTTTAGTTCCATGTAGGTGTATTTTTAATGATATTTACATACCTTTAATAAAAAAAAAATGTATAATTCAATATTTTTTTTTATTTACGTAAATTTAGCTATCATGTTCCTATTAGCAATGCAGTGGACATATTCATACATTTCATATACAAAACGTTCGCAAAATTCTGTGCTGTGGCTATAAGACGTACATCACTATTTCTTTTTTGCTCGTATGGTTAATCTGGAATGATTATTGTCATGATGTAAAATTTAATGTGTGCTCTGTAGGATCTGGCGGACAAGATGATCCAGAGATTGTGAGATTACAGGCTGATAGAACCGTCAGTGCAGCAAGTGATGTCGTCCTGGAATGCCTTTCGTTAGCAGGCCTAAACATCCTCAGCAGTAAGCGCGAAAAGAACTTGACACGTTATAGCAGACTGGCATGTGCCTGTTAAAACCAAAGGGCTCAACAGAACATATAATATAATTTAATCCCCACCAAAATAAACATAATCAATTTAGCAGGTTGAGTGGCAGCTAGTCGATGGGAGAAGCATTGAAGTATTGAGCTCGTGGTGAAGACAGAATTACGCAGGTGATAGAAGATTCAGCACTGAGATGGAAAGTCTGGAGACTGAAAGACAATATTTGTATTGACTATATCCAATATCAGGAATTCAGATGGGGAACCTACAGATGTTGAGACAACCAACATGATGATCCCTGTAAGCGAGGACGTTGAGGTCAATGTGAGAGGTACGGATTACTTTCTGGTCTAATATGTAGGTATAATATAAATAAAAAATGCTATAAAAATTTTGTTGTTTATTGTATTAGAATTATTGGGTTTTTAACCGACTTCAACATTTTCATATATATTTATGAAATTCCTCATGCTTCCAGGGTCTGGAGGTGGAGAAGATCTTGATATTGTGGAGATCTCATCTGACACAACTGTTAGTACAGGTGATGATTTGGAACTGGAGATGCTTCGTCACAGGCTCTCACCTCATCAACTGTAAGTGCGAGCATCTTTGTTACAATTGTTACTAATAGATATATCGTATATAATGTTAAAGTTATATTGATTGAGGGTAGGTGCTCATCTGCTCCGTATATAATTTACATATTCATACACCACAGCGTATAGCTGCAACCTAGTAACCTACATAGTGTGTGGGCAAACAGTTACTCCTAAACAAAGACACAACAGCAATTTCTCTGTAAATTTGAGTAACATTGCATACTACCACATGGTATGGCACTTACAGACTTATGGCAGATCATTAACGTCAATGTTTGAAGAAGGATAAAATCACATTATATTTCTAGTAATAGTTAATGGAAGGCAGCCACTATGATATTGTGTTCATGTGTGCGTGCATTGAGCGTTTTGTAATGTATGTACTTATCCTCGGCACTATAGCTTTGACAAAGAATGGATATCTATCAGTGGTTTAAAACTAAATATATTTCCACATGTGTAGCTATCAACTAGTCAGTGATCAGCTATTTATATCAACTACCAGACTGAAATAAAATGAACTATAGTGGCACCCCATCTAGGGAGGATATTTAAACTAATGTATTTATAAGGGTCGCATTCTAGTAATATAGTTATACTATTTAATTAGCTTTTATGTGTGATGATTAGTTTTTATGTCTTCCTAAATCAAGACTTAATTTTGTGAACTATGTTTCCTAACATGTAAACATTGCTATTATGTCTCTAATGCATTCTTCTTAACTGCCATCAGGTTGAGTGGCAGCTAGTTGATGGGAGGAACATTGAAGTGTTTGACACGTAATGAAGACAGAATCATCAGTGATAGAAGATTCAGCACTGAGATGGGGACAAGTTTGGAAATGAGGGATGTGGTTTACTCGTAACAGTCACTAATATCAGGAATTCAGACGAGGGAAACCTACAGATGTGAGACAACCAAGTGATGATCCTGTAAGCGAGGATGTGGAGGTACACTGGTGGAGAGGTATGGGTGTTTTAGCGTGTGAATGTATTTGTTACACATCTGTGGGCTTGCTCGCGCCAGGAAACTGTTCTTGATGAACAAGATAAAAATCGTGTAAGGGTTAAGAAATAGTATTTTTGTATGGAAAGGTGTTTACTTTCTTAGACCAAAAAACTAAAACACAATTTCTAACATAAAACCCTGTGAACTCATTCATTTTGACTGTAAAACTATGAATATTGCAATGATATAGTTTAAAGAACATTAATTACAGTTGTTGCTTATTTCAATATATACCGGTGCATTAAACATATTCGTTATCACTTATTTGTTTTATTTGATGAGATATTTTTGAGAAAAGTGTGCGTGTAATTACTTTTTTCAAAGGCTCTGGCGGTGGAGAAGATCCCTGCATCATTAGTGATAGAAGATTCAGCACAGAGATGGACACTGATGGAGATGAGGACATATTTACACTAACGGTTACTAATATCAGGAATTCAGACGAAGGAACCTACAGATGTGAGACAACCAATGATGATCCTGTAAGCGAGGATGTGGAGGTCACTGTTAGAGGTATAGTTATTTTCCACCTCACAGTATAAATATTTATAATCAAGTTGTTGCAACTTACAAGCTGTGTAACTAAAAATGTACATGTACCTGTTTAATAGGATTGTTTAGTGTTGTTATTGTTATTGTCCTACATTATTTTGTCATGTTATTTATGCTATGGAAATATGTATCTGATTAAATTACAGGTTCTGGAGGTAGTGAGGATCCCGAGATTGTGGATATTACGTCTGACAAAACTGTCAGGACAGACAACGATTTGGTCCTGGAATGTTTTGTCACTGGCCTTACTTCATCAACTGTAAGTCCAAGATTTCATTTATAGATACTTGTATTCACTACCACAAGCTCAAAGCTCATAACTATAAGCATTTTACAGATCTTCAAGTATGCTATTGCCATAGCGTTTCACCTAACCATTTTGTCGATCTACTCTTGATACCTATAATCTTAACTCCTGTCAGGTTGAGTGGCAGCTAGTGGATGGCAGGAACATTGAAGTACTGACCCGCGGTGAGGACAGAATCATCAGTGATAGAAGATTCAGTACTGAGATGGACACTGATGGAGATGAGGACATATTTACACTAACTAGTTTATTTTGTCATAAGGTAGTGTGATTATGCATGCCACGAAGTATTTGCTAGTCTAGTACTGGAGAAATTAGCGTTTGGATGCGCATTGTGAGCCTTTAACGATACTTAACTACGATTTTACTTAATTATTACTCGGTAAGAAATAATATGGCAAAAAATTATTGCTTAGTGTTTCTACTGAAAAAAATATAGTTGGGTTGACATAGGAAATGGATGACTGGACGCAGAGCCTGGGAGCTGGGCATCTGTTAACCGGACGCGTAGCTACGGCCTAAAAATAAGATAATAATAAGATGATATGATAATAAATAAGATAACTTGAATAAATACAACAATGTGGTTAGTCCTCATTGGTAATATGCAGTGGATGGAATATGATCTGATAGTTATTGTGATGATATGAGTTTTGATTTAATTGTTTCCTGTTTTAAGTTGGTATCTTTCTATGTTAAACAAAGACCAAAGACAACTTTGATTTTATATTGAAGGTAGTTATTATTGATTATATTAATTTTACTAGATGGGTTTTGTTCATCATAGTCTTTTGATGCAATAAATCATGAGCACAATCAGTAATCCTTAGCTAAATTTACTTTTCAGCTCTAACCTCAACATATATAGCTTAAACCCTGATGATGCAGGCACCTACATTTGTAAAACAACTAGTGATCACCCTATAATGCAAAGTGTTGCAGTTGAAGTTAGAGGTAACAGTTTTAAATTGCTAGTTGTAATGGATTTTTATGTGCAAATTTAGGATTAACATACAATATAGATTTTTGTATGTAGTTAATAACAATAAGATGTGCAGTATAGGTTAAATGTAAAGGTAAAACTGTGTTTCAAACTATTCTAGTGCATGTTTTCCCCTGTGCTATGTGTATTACGTTTTCAAATTACTGTATTGTATTTACTTTACCATGTTAATAATATGAAATATTAATGTGTTATATAAAGGTGTACCTATGCAATTTTTCCGAATTGTAAAATTGAATGGTATATTGCCTGTAGTAGGTAATAAATGTGTATTCATGAACATTAGTCTGGTGTGTGAGATGTCTATTTTTCTTGCAGGTTTAGCTGACCAGAGCTTGACAGGATTCTTCACTAGATTGAGATCAAGTACTAGTAACCCAACGATAACTAGCATATCTCGATTAACAACTGTGAGAACAGGAAAAACTCTCAATCTGGAGTGCTTTGTGCGAGGACTGTCAGGCTCTACAACGGTATGTTCCACACATATTTGTCAACCTAATCAATGCAGAGCGTGGTTTTACCTTTATGAATTGAAGAGTAGCCAATACATATTTAATTTCTCCTTAAAGGACAATTGAAGTAACTTCTGTAACGTTTTTATACATAGAAATACATTCAATAACATATTCCATTTCAAATTCGGCGCCCAGTAATAGACACCTGAATAGTTATTGTTACTATATCGAGGTTATGTGATGTCACGGACCATTTTGAGAGACGCCATTATGTAAACATAGTGCGTGTGGTGGTTAAATATTTGATGTTTTTTGTTATTTATAACTGTCAGAACTGCAATGATTAGAACTGAATGTTATGTCACTGGTCTTGACTCATCAACTGTAAGTTCAAGATTTTAATAGTAGATACTAGTATTGCATTTTAACAAGCTCTTAACTATAGTAACCACTCATACAACTCTGGAACGACCTATTTCTTTACCAGTTTACTTACAGATTTTACTGTTTTATTGCTATGCTTCTGATACATTTCATACATCATTACATTCATTTTAACCTACTGGTGTAATTTGTTAGTATGCTTCCAACACTCCTTAACTGTTCTCAGGTTGAGTGGCAGCTAGTGGATGGGAGGAACGTTGAAGTACTGACCCGTGGCGAAGACAGAATCATTAGTGATAGAAGATTCAGCACAGAGATGGACACTGCTGGAGACGAGGACATATTTACACTAACGGTTACTAATATCAGGAATTCAGACGAAGGAACCTACAGATGTGAGACAACCAATGATGATCCTGTAAGCGAGGATGTGGAGGTCACTGTTAGAGGTATAGTTATTTCCCGCACCTCACGTATCTATAATATTTATAATCAAGTTGTTTGCAGACTTACAAGCTGTGTAACTAAAATGTACATGTACCTGTTTAATAAGGATTGTTTAGTGTTGTTATTGTTATTGTCCTACATTATTTTTGTCATGATTATTTATGCTATGGAATTCATGAATATGTCTGATTAAATTACAGGTTTGGAGGTAGTGAGGGATCCCGAGATTGTGGATATTACGTCTGACAAAACTGTCAGGACAGACAACGATTTGGTCCTGGAATGTTTTGTCACTCGGCCTTACTTCATCAACTGTAAGTCCAAGATTTCATTTATAGATACTTGTATTCACTACCACAAGCTCAAAAGCTCAATAACTATAAGCATTTAACAGATCTTCAAGTATGGCTATGCCATAGCGTTTCACCTAACCATTTTGTCGATCTACTCTTGATACCTATAATCTTAACTCCTGTCAGGTTGAGTGGCAGCTAGTGGATGGCAGGGACATTGAAGTACTGACGGCCGCGGTGAGGACAGAATCATCAGTGATAGAAGATTCAGTACTGAGATGGACACTGATGGAGATGAGGACATATTTACACTAACGGTTACTAATATCAGGAATTCAGATGAGGGAACTTACAGATGTGAGACAACCAATGATGATCCTGTAAGCGAGGATGTAGAGGTCACTGTGACAGGTATATGGTCCTTTTCTATCTCAATGGGAAATTGAGTAATGCTATTGGAAAAAGTTAGGGTATAGCTGTTGAACTGAATTTATATTGCTGTTATTATTGTTTTCTAACATCAGTAAAGTGATGTATTGAATGTAAATGTGTATGTAATTTAATTTTAGGGTCTGGAGGCAGAGAAGATCCTGAGATTGTGGAAACAACTTCTGACGTGGCTGGGGACTTGGGGGTTGGTGTGTGTAGAGTTGTGCGAGGTGGGCTGTTGGGGGGTTTGTTTTTGTTATGGCGGTGGCGGTACAGTGGCGGTGTCGCGGCCGCCGGGGGTCAAGTTGCGTCGGTGGTTGGGATGTGGAGCGAGCGCCGGTGTCGGCGCGGAGCTCGCGGCGCGCGGGGAGGGCCTTCCGGCGTATCGGGCAGTTAAAACCATCAGAGGCAGGAAATGATGTTAGTCGCTGGAGTGTTTTGGTCACAGGCCTAGACATCCATCAGCTGTAAGTGTGTAATTGCTGACATTAGAGATTGTATTATGCAGCCATCTGGCTATAGCTTTCTATATACACCCTGACACACATTCTGGCTATGTGATAATTGATAGAAGTATTTACAGATTCATCATTATACTTCTAATACTAGTAATATTACCTGATGTTAGGTGCGGGAACAAGTTGGGGGCCAAAAAAGCCTAGTGGAGTGGGGAGGACATATGAAGTACTGGACCCGCTGTGGAGAAGAACAGAATCATCAGTGATAGAGCAGATTCAGTACTGAGATGACCACTGATGGAGAATGACGGGCATATTTACACTGAACGGTATC